CTGATGGGATAATTGAAAATACACTTTGTCTAGCATGATGAACATGACTTTTGGGATGCCTGCCACAGCAAATAATTCAGTGCAATAATCATAAATGTTGTTATTTTATCCTAGACGAATTCTTTGGCGAACTAACAAGAAAGAAGTTGAAACATGTACGGCTCTATGACAATATAAGCTTAGTTCGCTCTTTGCCTACCAACCTATTCCATTTTTATCATTTTTTCAATTCTGTTCGTATTAACCTACTTCAAAGGTTTCTTTATAATTTAGATCTTACTTTTACTAAGCCACTCCTTTGCAAATGTGCTTTACAATAACTAGACATTTTAGTCTTCCTTTTAAATATCGTCGTAAGCTTTCCGACGCTTAGATTTGCTTGTGTGCATCTTCCACCCAACTCATAGGTCTTTATTGTATTTTGTTGTCCTTTTTTCTCTGGAGAGGGCTGTCTAATACCAGCTAGTTGTTCCCAATGTATACGAGTAATCCCATTGTATAGCTCCAAGGTCTTCCATCCATCCGGTTACTTATTGCCTTCCTAGTAGGTTACACTTGGTCAAACTCAAAAACCCATTTATCTGTTGCCATTAGGGATGATTTGGTTATCCAGTTCCTCTTTAGAAAGCATTTTCTCGAAAGCATGCGAGCGCCAACACAGAATTCATGGATTATTCCGCATACTTGGCACCCTACCCATAGCTCTTAATTCATGTTGGGCGCAAATGCTGGTGCATTATGGAACGGAAACTATGCCACCAGGGTGTGGCTTCCATGGTGAAATAAAAGATGCTTCTAGCCAATGCTATCCCATGGCGATCGTGGGCTTCACGTCGATATGTCCAACTTCAGTTTTCAATTGATGCAGGCTTACCTGGGCAATTTGAAATACAAAAGTGATGAATACTTTGAGGAGCGTCGGAGCATCGGCCCGGTACATTTTTAGACAATTGGCTAGTAAGCGTCGCCAAAGAGTGGGACTACCAAATGGCCTATATACTTTGCTGTGTGCAAAATGCTTGAAAATGTATCCGACCAGCCATCAAACCAGCGAAATGAGGCCGCTGCCAAGCAATCCTTAATATGTCTCCACAGCATTCTGCTTCAAACGGAATAATCTCACCCTTCGTCTACCTCGCAAAAGTCAGTTTTATGCCGGAAATATAGCCAATGATAATATGCAAACGACGAATAACTACTAGCATATAGTAAGTAATATGTTAGTCTACGCTAATGCCAGCTTGGCTTCAAGTCCGCCTTTTCTTTAGAAGATAACTTTTTTTGGTAGCATTGTTTAGCAGCATAATTCTGGCGTCAGAAACAAGCGATATAACCGTCTGTTGAGGTTGTGTGCGTGTAGACTGATTTATCACTCCGTGTAACGATCCACAGTTGATTTCAGTCCTTTCCAGAAAGAATGACAACACATGCGTGATAGCATAATGGGTGTGTGGATATTAGCAGAAAACAGGCTTTGATGCTACAGTCCTCCCCAGTTTCGCATCACTTCCTTTTTGGCCAATATTGCCTTTTATACAATCCCCAATTTGCACAGATCACCCACAGCTCTGCTGCCCCTCACAACTCCCAATCGCCCTATCCAAGCCAGCCACATTCGCATTCCATCTTTACCCAGGCTCCTGCAACCTTGCACTTTTTGGCTAAAACGAGTCTTTCTTGTTCCCATGATACCTCTACACTAACCCCTTTGTCTTTCGCCTGCTCGGGTCGGACAGACACCACCCTGAGAGATGAGCATTCACACAACACCCGCCCAACTGTCCACTCAATTGCTGCCTAATCCTCATCCCCTCGGGGCTATGTCCGCACACAGAGTCCACCTGAATGAATTCGTGGACTGGACGGTGAAGACAACTTCTCCACTCGTCTGCCAGCGGTGACGACACCACTCTACCCGGACAACTGGCATATGCCTCTCCCCATGCTATCAGCACACGCACAAACACCCTTGTGCACACATGCACGAACGCATCTCTATGCACTTTCATATAGACACGTACAAATAGAGGCTGTTGATACTGCAGTTATTTGCTTTTAACCCCTCTCCTCGTAATTGTGTGAGGTGGACGCGAGTTAAGTGAACTGTTGGGACGAGAGAGACGCATCTGATTTCGATTTATTATTTCCCATGACAATCCGTGGCAGTACAATTCGGCTTTGTCATCGTAGTGAAGGGAAGCCTACAATTCTGAATCTAAACTATGTTCACCCTATTTCGTTAAGGTGATGAAAGAAGGTATTTGAATTAAATAGCGTACTCTCGTAAACCTACCAAAAACGGATATCTATTTGAATCTGCCCTCTAGTCTTTTTTACGCTTACCCTCCAGCCTATCTATCTATCTATCTATCTATCTATCTATCTATCTATCTATCTATCTAT